AGCTCCAGCTCGCAGGCCGCGGTGGCGGTGTCGTCTGACGACAGTGGGGTGTTGGTGGAGGCTGCGGCGTCCGGCGTGGATGCGCTGCAGATGCAGTCGCGGCTGGAGGGGGGGGGGGGGCGGGGGGGTTCCTCGACGGCTTGCGCTCCGTTAAGTGCTGAGCAGCATGCTGCTATTGAAAAGCGGCCGGAGCGCAGCAGGGGATTGAACGGGGTATTGAACAGCATGACCCTTGCATGGCGGCGGCACCGGCGGCACATGCCGGGTGGTGCCTGCCAGCAGCCGAGGGCGCCCTGCAGCCCTGATTCAGGTCTGTCGTGGAGCAGAGAGGGGAATGGGGACTTACATATGAGTATGTTGCAGAGCAGAGGACAGGATAGGCAGTGGACGCATATGCCGCCTAAGCGGCACCACTCGCCCGCTCGAGCCAGCCTGCCTAGCCGTTTGGAGAGGCTGCCAGCCGAGCATGGATGCCCAATGCAGATGCTGAGCAGTGATTGTCATTACTGTGAGGGCGGTGTCTCCACAGAGGTCCCAAGTTGGGGTCAAAGCATCGGGCTCTGCTGGCGGCAGCGTGGCTCAGCGTGGCGCTGAGCAATGTTATCTTTGGATTAGCGCTTCCATTCGCCTCCAACCGTCCTCCTCCATACATTCGCTTCCCACACAAGTCACTTTCTGGGTTTCCCTGCTTATCCTTGCTTCCAGCGCCGACGCCATGAACGCCACAGCCCTTTGCGCCCGCTCCTCCGCCGGCGTGCAGCTGCAGCAGAATGCCACGAGCGCCACAGCCCTTTCCGCCCGCTCCTTCGCCGGCGTGCAGCTCCAGCAGGATGCCAGGAGCCTCCGTGTGAACAAGCGGGCCGTGTGCAGCGCTGCGTCAAAGAAGATGAACAGCTACGATGAGAACTGGGACAAGGGCGAGTGCGGGCTGGGGCAAATGCGCAGAATTCCTGCAGTTGCTGCGCCCTGGGCTACGCCGCCTTCCCGCCGCCGCCGCCGGTGATGCCGATGTTACTTGCCTGCTTTGGTGCTTGTCGCGCGATGACGATGCCTTTGAGGCTGTTTCTGATCCCCAGTGATTAAACTCACACCAATCGACTTCTCCTACCTCCTAGCGCACATGTCCCCGCTCACCTAAGCATGTCTGCCTGCTGCACGCCGCTCGCCGTGCCGCACGATGCCCGCGCCGAGACAGCCTGCTGCCTGGCCCCCCCCTGTGTGCAGGCTTTGGCACCATTGGTCTCTTTGCGGAGGACCGTGAGAAGTCTTCTGTCAACATCTTCAAGCAGGTGGAGAAGAAGAAGCTGCTGTCCACGGTGGAGAAGGCGGGGCTGCTGACGTGCGTCCGCCTGCCATGCCGCGCTGCACCGCGCGGGCTGGCTGCTGCTGCGCCCTTGCATGTGGGCCCGCTGCCAGCCTCCAGGCCAGCCCTGCTGCCAGCCGCGCCGCTCGCTCACATGCGCCTGCTGCCTCCGCCCCGCCCGCGCGTTTGCCGCAGCGCTGCGGAGAAGGCGGGCCTGTCGCTGGGCAAAATTGAGAAGCTGGGCCTGCTGTCCACCGCGGAGCGCCTGGGCCTGCTCACGCTGGCCGAGGACCTGCTGACCACCGACCCCGGCAAGATCAGCTCCGGTGAGTGGACCGCCTGGCAGCAGGGTGCGTGTGCAGCAAGGGTGTGAGGCAGGGAGGGGGCAGCAGCTTGCCCAGGTGCGTGGGCTGCTGCATGCCAGCACCGCCGCCACCAGCCACCCGCGCCTGTTCACCCCTGCCCTGTTGCTCTCCCCGCCTGCTGCCGCAGCCTCCCTGCCCTGCTTTGTGGCCGCCATTGCCGCCCTGGTGTTCATCCCACAGGACAACGCACTGGAGAGCGTCCTGGCGTGAGTGCCAGCTGGCCCCGTGCCACAGCTCCCCGCGCTGCGCCTGTTCCCGCCGGTCCCCCTGCGTGGCTCAGTGTGGCGACATGCAAATCGTGCCTGACAGGTCCCCTGCTCCCCGCCCCCGCCCACCTGCAGCTACACGCTGTCGCTCGGCGCCGGTGGCCTTGGCGCCGTGCTCTTCATCGGCGGCTTCTTGGTGAAGGGCCTCCAGGACGAGTGAGCGCCTGGGGCCCTGCCTGCCCTGGGCTCGACCGGTCACCCTGCCTGAATGCACCCTGTCCATCGCTCGAAGCGCGCACACCATGTATGCCCCGCCATCTATTCTGCTGCTGTTCTTTTGCTGACTCTCATTCACCTCCCTTTCGTTGTTGCTCGAGGAGACGCCTGCGAGTTGTTTCATTCTCCACCCAATCCAACCTGCCGCCTGTATGTACCCTAAGCTGGCTCTCGTCCAATCATACACTGCTGATTTTAAACGAAATTGCACCCTGCTATGAGGTGCCACTGCAATCAAGACAGAGCTGTCACGGAGAATATAGCACTTGAGCAGACGGCAATAGCACGCACATAAAATGAGAGTAGTACACTGTCGCTGGAAGGCCAGGCTGCCACCTCATCCCACCATGCGAGGCGGCACACTAAAGCTGCCCTTCGAATGGTGGACCGCATGCTGTGGGGCAGGTGCTGCCGCTGCTGGTGCCGGCGCCATGGCCTGCAGGTTGGTGCTGCTGTTGCCGCAGCTGGGCCCCCCAAAGTGGGGCTGCATGTAGCCCTCATCCAGCTTCTTCCACCAGCGGTTGATGCGGGCCATCACCGCCTTGCTGTCAGGCGCATACTCCAAGCCCCCACTCTCCTCGCGGCCCGCCACGCCGCTGATGGCAGCTGCCGATGGGCCTGCTCCTGCTGGGCCGGCACCTGGCGTACTGCTGTCCACAGTCAGCTCGATGGCCGGCCGGCCCCCAGCAGGCTGCTTGCCCTTGCCCGCATCGGCGTCGGCCCCATCGCCGCTGCCTCTATGGATGGACACCTCGGCCAGGCCGCCACTGCTGGTGCGGGCCGGTGCCGCCGCCATCGGCCCAAACTCATCATCCAGCGCCGGGCCCAGACGGCCTGGCCGCGGCGGCGTGGCCAGCCGGCTGTCGTCGCCTGGCGGCAGCGCCTGCTGCATGTCGCTCCACTGGGGATCTGCAGCGGCAGGGCAGCATGCATGCCGTATGAGAGGCTCCTCATTGGCAGCCCTATCCGCATGCAGTCGTGGTAAGCAGGCATGTGGGCGGCCACGGCGGCCTCTGTCCATGCTGCCAATGCCACCCACCGTCGCTGTACAGCCCGTAGGGGTGGTTGTTGGCGCCAGGGCCCAGCTGAGCGTACTCGTGGCTGCCGCCGCCAGCACCAGCGCGCATCTCCAGCGAGCCTCCTGCAGCAGTTGCGGCTGCGGTCGCCGCCACACAGCTGTCAGTGGCATACGGCGGCCGGGCTTGAGGCAGCGCCCAACAGCTGGCCATGCATGCACGCAAGCATTGGTTGCACGCAGGTGGTGGGCCGCACGCGCTGCGGCGCACGCCGCTAGGCGCGGCCGGCCCACTCCCTGGTCCCCACCCCACTGCACAGTGCTCGCACCGTGCTGGCCATGCTTGCGCGCCGGCCTGTCGTCGGGGCCCATCAGCCAGGCCACCAGCGGCTTGGTGGCGGCCCCAAAGATGAGGATGGATATGAGGACGACCACCATGGTGGTGGTGATGACTGTAGACAGGTGTGGGTCGTCAGTCAGGCCGTGTGGGTCGAAGAAGTAGTAGACCAGCGCCACTGCGGGCAGGCACAGAAGGGAGGGCCCAGGTGGGGGGGCAGTGCAGAGGCGTGGGCAGGGGCGGGAGACGCTGCGCTGCGGGGTGGAGGCCAAGCTTCCTGCCATGCGCCGGCTTGCGCTGCCAGGCACATGCACCGCACCGGCGGCATGCTCCATGCCCTGCCTGCCACGCAGGCAGCACATCCACATGCCCTGGCAGCGCACCTGACACCGCGCCGCGCATCAGGCCCGCCCACCAGATGGTCCCCATCTCCCGCATGCTCAGCTTCTGTTCGCAAAAGCGATTGTGGGCCAGCGTGATGGGCACCACAAACGCGGCGCGGCTGGCCAGCAGCAGCACCAGCACGATCCAAAACATCCACGCCACCTCACGCTTGCTGGTGTTCTGCACAGGCCGGGCGGGCAGGCGGGCAGGCAGGCGGATCTCCCGCTTGGCAGCTGTGCAGCGCATGGCAGAGGGAGGCTGCAGACCTGCTGCACCTGCTGCATGCCCACCCCTGTGCAGACTCCCTCCTGCCGCAGCACGGTTGCGCCACACCCGCCGCACCTGCCACTTGAGCGGGTCCAGGGCATCCAGGCCGCAGTACACAAAGATCACGCCCTCTGAGATGTAGCTGAGCGTGTGGAAGGCGTAGATGGTGGTGGTGCGCGACTCGGCTGCGGGGGTGCAGATGCTGGGTGCAGTCTATCGGCAGGCAGCAGCGCCGGCAGCTGGCACAGACTGAGCACCGTGCGTGCGTGCACGCTGCCGGCACCGGTGCGTGCCCCACCTGAGATGTTGTGCAGGGCGTAATGGGAGATGGCCACGGCGCACACAAACAGCGACAGGATGCCGCTCAGGCCCAGCACGTCGCCCGCCAGGTAGGACAGGTAGGCGGTCATGCCGATGAGCGCCACCTCCTGCACACCCCAGCATGCATGTCGCGATCACAGCACGCTCAGCATGCACGGCAGTGATCATCGTCTGCGCCCCCCGCATCGGACTGCACCAGCATCCGCTGGCATCCAGGCAGCAGATCCGGCCCAGCTTCCAATGGACAGCCGATCCCAGGGCCGCCTGCATGCCTGGGAGACGTGGTCGAAATGGAAGGTGCGCAGGCAGTAGGCGGTGACCAGGCCGAACAGCATGCCCAGGATGGTGGAGGCGGCGGCGAGGTAGATGAAGTCGAGCAGCACGATGCAGACCAGGCCAAAGGTGAGGTCCTCGGAGCTATCCAGCCCAAACTTCTGCAGCATGGGCAGGCACAGCGGCAGGCAGGTAGGGCGTGAGGGCAGGTACGGGATCCTGGATCCGCAGGGATGCTGGCTGCCAGCAAGCCCGCGGTTGCTGCCGTAAACTGACACCTGGCCAGCTGCGCTGCTGTCGCCAGCAGGAGCGCTGGCAGCAGCACTGTGGCAGGTGCAGCACTATGGCAGCAGGAGCACCACCGCAGCCGCCGCGCCTGTATGGTGCCCAGTATGACGATGGAGGTGGCGTCGTTGATCACCCCCTCCCCAAATACCACGCTGTACAGCAGCGGGAAGCGGTCCTGGGAGATGACCTGCAGCGCCGCCACCGAGTCGGTGGCCGCCAGGATGGAGCCCAGCGCCAGGCAGTCCTGCACGCGGGGAGGCGTGGGGGTGGCGATGGGTGCGGCAACGCCGTCCAGGCGGCTGTGCCGCAAGCCTGCTGTCGCGCGCTCGGCTCAAGCGGGGACTGCATGGCTGAATTTGGGCAGGCACTTCCACGTTGGCATGCCGCTGGGCACAGAGCACAAGCAGCTGTTGGCCACGCCCGGCCGCCTGCTCACGCCAAAGGTCAGGTAGCTGGGCAGGAAGAGGTAGAGGCAGATTGAGATCAGGGCGAAGCAAACGTAGGTGCCCACGATGCCGTAGCCGGCAATGGTGAAGAAGTTGCGGAAAAAGTGCTTCTTCTTGACCGACAGGCCAGCATAGAAGATTATAGGAGGCAGGAAGAAGCTGCGAGCATGCAGTTGGGGGGGCCACAACAGGCTCAGTTGCAGGTTCACCACTGGCGCATGTGCAGAGGGTGGCCAGAACCCAGCTGCCGCCCATCACGCCGTCTGCTCACACGAAGAAATTGGCTGGATCAAAAGACAGCATGGACTGCAGCACGCCGGGGTGGAACAGCTTGCGTGCCACCACCATAAGCAAGCCGACGACGAGACCCAGCAGGCAAGCTGTGCTGCCGTCACCCGCAAACCGCGTGCTGGCAGCAAAGCGGTGGCCCAGTGTCGACCATATAATCATCAGCGTCACCAGCAGGGCTGCGCACATGGCGGTCAAGTGTGGGGGCAGGCAGGGGGCTGGGCGAATGCGCAGAAGCATGGGCAGATGGCGGCGGGGTAGGATAGGTTTGACCGGCGGCGCCACCGCCGCCAACGGACCTGTGCTGAGCGATGCGGTGTGCAGCGCATCGGGCTCATGGCCCTCTGCTGCCTCGCCCATGGCCACGCGGCCTGGGCTGCGGAGTAACTGCTGTGCCCCTGAGTCGATTCCACAGCAGAGCCGCAGCTACTCCTATGCCTTAAGAGTGTATGTCGACACATGGATTCAATGCTGGAACGAACGATAGAGCCGGTTTCCGGGCCTGCAGTGAGCGCAGCACGCAGCAGGGGCTGTGGCAGGTTCCGAGATGCACGAGCCGCGCTCTGCCTGTGCACGCTGCCCACCACCATGCTCAAGGCAGCCCACAAACACTGCAGCCAGTTGCGGGGCCGCTGAGACAGCCCGCCTGGCGCCTGGCGGGCACATGCACCCTGCCTTGCAGTTTTGGCAGAGCCGGGACCTTCAACCATGGTGTATGCAGGTGCGGCAGGTCGCAAAAAGGTTGGGGCACAAGGCAGCAGCTCCCACCCCTGCATGGCCGCTGGGCAGCCAGTGCTCGGTGCCTGAGGCCGATGGCGGCCCGCCCGGGACCCTGCCGCGCCAGGAGCTGCAGCTCCGGGCTCCCGCCGCTGCCGGCCTCGCTGCCGCCATCCTTGCCGCCATCCGGGGCCAACGTCGCTGCGCCACCCCTTTTGTGTAGCTGTCACATGGATCTTCGTGGCCGCAACTGTCCTGGCTGTGTTTGTGGCCTACGGTGAGGGTGCTGCCGTGCTGGCAGCGGGGTCTGCTGCCTTATGCCAGTGGTGTCTTTGCAGCGTGTGGCGTCCCTGTCCCGCTACCAACCGCTGCTTCCCAACTGCAGGCATTGGCGCGAATGACTTTGCAAACAGCTTTGGGAGCTCCGTAGGGTCTGGAGCCCTGACAAGTGCGTGGTCTGTAGCTGGAATGCTTGCGCATTTGGGGTTGGCTGGGCCGGCTGGGCCCCAGTGTGCCGAGCTAAGTAGCCTGCTGCGCGCCATCGTGCGACCGCAGTGAAGCAAGCCATCCTCATGGCATCCATTTGCGAGTTCAGCGGCGCTGTGCTGATGGGGTCTGGAGGTGCGCAGAGTGTTGGAGGATGTGGCTCCCATGCCTGCAGTCTTTCATGCACCATTTCAGCTTCGGTTGTGCCAGATTCCACGCTTGCCTGCGCTGGCTCATCTCCTTAATACAGCAAAGCCGCGTGTGTTCCCCGCCCGCTCGCTCCCCTGCAGTGACGGAGACGATCCGCAGCCAGATTGCCGACACTGCTGCCTTTTCCCAGAAGCCAGACGTGCTAGCCTACGGCATGCTGTGCAGCCTCCTCGCCTCTGGCATCTGGCTCATCCTGGCGACGTACTGGGAGCTGCCGGTCAGCACCACGCACTCCATCGTGGGGGCGGTCGTGGGCATGACCATGGTGACGGTGGGGCCGCAGTCGGTCAACTGGAGCGAGCACACAGACACGTTCCCGTTCCTGGGGGTGAGCGCCAGCGCTGCTCGCCAGCACCGCCCGCAGCCTCGCGGCAGGCTTTTGCTCTCTGTTCTGCTGCCGGCCTGGTGTCACCTTTCGGGCTGGCCCCTGGCCCTCCAGCTGCCTACTGACTGTTCTCCCTGTTGCGTTCGCAGGGAATGTCTTCCATCCTCCTCTCCTGGCTCTTCTCCCCCGTGCTCACCGCTGCCCTGTCGGCCACCCTGTTTGCGCTGCTGCGGTACTTTGTGCTGCGCTCGCCGCACGCCTACCGCCGCGCCTTCCTGGTCTTGCCTATCGCGGTGTTTGTCACCTTCTTTATGTGAGCGAGGCAGCAGCATGTCTGCGGTCCCGGCCCTGCACCGTGCTGTGCTGTACTGTGCCCTGTGTGCAGCGCCCCTGCTGGCCCGGGCGCACCTCACAGGTGCTGTGCTGGCCTGCTGTTGTGGTCCCCCCCCCCCACTGCAGGATCTCGCTGTTCATCATCCAGCAGGGCGGCGGGCGCTTTGACTGGGACGACACGCCGCTGGGCAAGGCGTGCTGGATATCGGCCTGCGTGGGCGCCGGCAGCACCGCGGTGTCTGTGGCCCTGCAGGCGCTGCTGATCCGGCGGCGCGTGGCGGCAGACGTCAAGGCGCAGGAGGCGGAGCACGCGGCGGCGGCGGCCGAGGCCGCGGCGGCAGATCTGGAGCCTGGGGCGATTCTGGAGGGTGAGGCGTGGCGGCGGCCGGCCTGGATGGGGAGCGCTGCTCAGGCGCCGCATGGCGGCGTCGCGGCCTCGCCGCGCTGCCTGGCATCAGGAGCTAGCGTAGCAGCACCCTTCTCTGTCGCTGCCTGGCGTGCCTGGCATGCAGGGGCACACGATGATCTCATCGCCGACATCATCGGCAGGGGCGACCCTCTGGCATTTGGCTTCTCCGCACAAAGCTCCGACGAGGGCGCCAGCTGCAGCCTGCCTGCAGGCCATGCGTGCGCGCCGCCGCCGCACGGCGCGCCAGGCAGCAGCCAGGGCGGCGGCGCCGCGGCGGCCGTCCCCGGCAGCGCCGCGCGCACCCCGGCGGCGCTCCACAAGTTCAGGCAGAGCCAGATGTGGAGCATGGTGTCCCACGGCGCCAACGTGGACATACACGAGGTGTGTTCCGGGGGCGTTGTTCGTGGGCTTCTGCTGTAGCACGGCTTCTGTTGTAGCACGGCTATGGCCCGTCTGCCCACCCCACCTGCCTGCCAAGCAGCCTGCCTGGCTGCCTGCCTGCCGCACATGCGACTTCAGCCAGCTGCAGAACGGCTGCGGCGGCTGCGAATCGACCCGCCTGCCTGCTTGGCTGTGGCTGCAGGTTGTGGACACGGACGAGAAGATCGGCAGCTTGCACTACCACTCTGAGAGGTTTGACTGGCAGGCGGAGAGCGTGTTCCAGTACCTGCAGGTGTTCACCGCCTGCGCCAACAGCTTTGCCCACGGATCCAACGACGTGGCCAACAGCATTGGTGAGGAGAGGAGGGGTGGGCTGGCGGCCTCACGGCGGCGCATGCAGGGGTTTGGAACAGGAGGAGCAGCAGGGGAGGGCAAGCCGGGAGCCGGAGCGGCAGAGAGGGGTGTCGGCAGAAGCGCGCGGCGCCACATGCCCCCCAGCACGCATCATGTGTGTTGGCTGCAGGCCCCTATGCCGCCATCTACGGCGTCTGGCAGACGTCCACAGTGGCCCAGCAGACGGATGTCCCCATCTGGATACTGGCAGTAGTGAGCGGGGAGGGAACCGAGCGAGCGCCGCTGTGCTGTGCTGCCTTCCTGCAAGGACTGCCGCTTGCTGCCGTACCTGCACGTCAGCTTGCTAGGCGCCTGCTCCGTCCCTCACAACGCGCATGCCTGCGCTGCTGCTTTGTTGGCTCGCAGGGCGGGGCGGGCATTGTGCTGGGCCTGGCCACCTTTGGCTACAAGATCATGCGTGTGCTGGGCGTGAAAATGACGCGCCTGACCAACTCGCGGGGTGTGCGGCCGGGGCCTGCCTGTGCATGGGGGCCAGCTGCGCCCAGGTTGCCTTCTGCCTGCTGACCCCACGCGCTGCCTGCTTGCCTGGCACGGTGGTGTGGCTGCAGGCTTTGTGATGGAGCTCAGCGCGGCGATCATTGTTGTCATCAGCTCCCGCTTCGGCCTGCCCATCTCCACCACCCACTGCCTGGTGGGCGCCGTGGCGGGCATAGGTGCGCCGCCGACGCCGGGGCATGCAGCGTGCACGCATTGCATCGCCCAGCCAGCCCCGCGCGCCATCCGCTGGCCTCCGCCTGCCTGCATGCGCCTGGCCCGTGCTCCCATGCCGAGGCCCCATGGCTTGACCGCTGCTGGCTGGGGTGCTGCAGGGCTGCTGGAGGGTCGCAAGGGCTTCAACGGCGTCCTGCTCCTGCGCTTCTTCGGGGGCTGGATCGCCACGCTGGTGGTGGCGGGGCTGACGGCGGCGGCATTCACCGCCCAAGGGGTCTACTCGCCCTGCAACCCCGCCGCCTCCCAGCGGTCGGACATGGCAGACTACCTCATCAACACCACCAGCGCCATCTCTGCGGTGAGCAGGGAGCTGGGGATGCTCCGGGCGGGTCGCTGGAGCTGTGGTGTGGCGGGGTGTGGGGTGTCAGGCGGTGCCTGGCTGAACCTTGGAGGGAATCCCTGCCTGCCCGCACCCGGCCCTCCCCGTTGTGAGTTGCGTCTCATCCATCCCTCTCTCCACTGTGCTGCCCCGCTGCCTCCGCAGCTTCTTGCCGGCAGCGGCCAGCCAGCGGCTGCCGCCAGCTCAGCGGCGCTCAACGCCAGCCTGGCAGCGCTGCCCGTGCCGCTGCTCAACTTGCAGCAGGGCGCGGCGGTGCAGCTGCAGGCGCTGCAAGACTACCGAGCTGCCACCGCATGGGTGGGAAATGCGACGTCCGGCAGCTGACTGGCAGCACCTCTCTGTGCCCCCTTGTCTTCTTTCCAGCACTTGCTAATTATATCTGTTTCTTCCCACCTCCTGCCCAGCCGGGGCTGCGGCAGCGCTCTCAAATCCGCCTCCTCCCCTCTTGCTTGTGCTCTTGAATACCTCCAGTATGCTTCAGTTCTTTCACGCCCTGCTGTTGTCCCCTCCTGTGGCCACTAGGCCTCCCCAATTGTGTCCCATCATCACCACAGCCCAGGATCCCCCGTCCAGGCCTGTCGCCTGCATGCGCCGTTTTTTCCTTGCACGGCTGCTCTTCAGCATGTGGCCCCATCCCAGGCGGATGGGGAGTTTTGGCAGTTTTCCTCCACCAGAATCCAACCACAAACCAACCTGCCGCCAACCCTCAGGCAATCACTTACAAGTTTGAGGGTCAAGTGTTGAGAGATGTAACGCAGCAATAGCCACGGGCAGGGCTCAAAACCTGGGCGCGTGCCCCCAGAACAGCACGCACATCACAAACAGTGCTGGCACAAGGAAAAAGGCAGGCAGGCAAGGGGGGGCGCCCCATGGGGCTGGTCTCGCATTAATCACTCCACTTGCAAAAGAATAAAGGGCAGCCGGGCGCGCGGGGCGCCAGCAAGCCACAGGCTGCGCCAGCAGCAGCCGCGTGCCACGCAGCACAGGCCCCGGCTGTGCCAGCCAGCGCGGTGCGCAGGCCTGTCGGGTGCGCCACGACGGCTGCCACACGAGAGTGGCGCCGCCTCACTTTGGGAGCACCAGGTTCTCCTCGCCGTCAACCACCTTGGCGCTCACAATCTTGTCCCCCACCTGCATTCATCATTGCCATGCATCACACTCACATGTGCTGCCTCCAGGGCTGGATGCATCGCACCGGGCCGGGCATTCATTCGCAACCAGATTACCGTGCCGGGGGCACGCCATTTCAGCTGTTGAGCCATCGTGGCGGCGCCGCCGGGCGCCATCCCAGCCCACCTGCATCTCCTTGAGCAGCTGCGAGCCCTCGGTGACGTATCCAAACACGCCGTAGCGCCCGTCCAGCAGGTTGGCGCCCGTGGGCGTCAGCTCAGACTCCTGTGGCCAGGCAGGCGGGGGCTCAGGCCCCCACGTGGCGCTTCTCGCCACCGGGACCTCAACGCCTTCCACGCCGGCAGGCCAGGCACCACCACCGACGCAGTCCCAGCCACCACCGCCACACATTGAACGTACAAACAACCGCCACTGCTGCAACCAGCCACCCCAAACACCCCACCTCCATCCCACCCCACCCACCTTGAGCAGCCAGAAGAACTGCGAGGAGCCCGAGTTGGGGTCAAACTCCTCGCGGGCAATGGCCATGGTGCCAAAGGCGTTGAAGGGCAGCACCGGCGACTCCCGGAACCTGCGGCAGCGCGAGGGGGAGGGGGACCAGGACCGCGGGCCGAGGTTAAGGGATGACCACTCGTGGACGCTTTCTGGAGCGCGCGCAGCAGGCCGGCGCAGCTCGGGCCGGCGGGCAGTGGGTGCCGGCCAGCATCATCCCATTTCGTTTTCAACACTGCACACACCCACACTCAGCGGCAGCCGCAGCAGCCGCAGCAGCCGCGCTCACCGCCCCAGATCCTCCAGCGTCTCCTCATACACCGGCACCTTGTCCCCCTTCACCATCACTTCCAGCGGGATGGTGCGCACCTTGCCGTCCACCTCAAAGCCCTGGCTCTGCAGCAGGGTGGGGCAGGGCGGGGCATGGGCGAGGCCGGGGCCGGGCAGGCCAGCAGCGCGCGCGTGCACAGTGCAGGGCCGGCCGGGAGGCGAGCGGGCAGCCTGCCGTAACACCGATTGCCACGCCACACAGCCACAGCCACAGCCAGCAGCCAGCAGGCGCCACTCACGCTGCCGTCAGGCTTGCCGGTCTGCACAACAAAGCCGTCGGCGCGCTGGATCTCCATGCCTGTGTAGAAGCCGCGCCGCACCAGGTCAACAAAGTCGCCCGCGCTGCAGGCAGGCAGGCGGGCGGGCAGGCAGGCAGGCAGGCAGGCAGGGAGGGAGGGAGGGGCGAGGGCGGTGCGGCGAGGTCGGTAGGTTGGTGGGCGCACGGGGGTGGAGGTGGGCGCAGGTGTGGGGTTTGGGAGGGAGGAGGAAACGGAGGGAGGCCACAGCGGTTGTTTCCGAGCAGCGGAGGGATGCCGAGCAGACCCAGCAAGGGATCCCTGGCGCGCTGGCGGTACCGCCCACCTGACGGGCGCGTTGTATCCGTCCAGGACCATGGTCATGGTACCGCCTGTGGCGTTGTTCTCGCGCGCATCGGTGAACTTGAACTTCATTTCCACAGTGGCGCGCCCCTGCGCAGGATGGAAAACACAATGAATCAACCGGGGAGGAGGGGAGTGGGGCAGCGGGGCAGCGGGGCAGAGTAAGTGGCGGTGTGATCGGCAGGACTGGGGCGGCGCGCGAGCGAGGCGCGCGGAGGGCAGCGCCCTGGGGGGCCGCCCCAGCAGCTGTCGGCAGCTGCAGAAGCGGCCGAGACCCTGCCTCCAGCTCCAGCCCGCCCCTCCAAACCGCGCTCTGCCGCTCCCAGCCAGGCACCACCCGCCATCACCACAGCTACCGCTCGCCATCCAGGCAGCTCAGGCGCCTCTTACCTTGAGCTGCGGCAGGTCGGCATACTCCTTGGGCACCTCAAAGGGGAAGGCCCCCACCATGGCCTCCTCCACTGCCCCCACATAGTCCAGGCACTGCTGCTGCACCAGCGGTACCGCCTGCTTGTCCTGAGCGTCTAGCACGCCCTGGAAGTCTGACAGGGACTGCGGGGCAGGGGCGTGGAGCAGGCGGAGGGAGTGCTCAGCCAGCCAGGCCTTGGGGCGGGATGCAGGTCTGGGGGCAGGATGTGAGAGATGGGATTGGGGCGAGGTGGCGTGTGTGTGTGTGTGTGCGGAGCAGGGCAGTGGCTGCAGCGGCGGCGGTGCACCAAGCCTCCGCAGCACCAGGCCAGCCAGCCAGGCTGGTGCACCCAGGCATGTGCATGTGACCCTGCCCTGTCCCTGGCCCCCACCCACACCTGCTTCAGCCCCTCCACAGCCGCCAGCCCCGCCGCTTTCTTGTCGGCCGCAAAGGCGGCGGTGATGGCGCTGCCCTCGCGCTCCAGCACAGACGAGGCCGCACGCACGCGCCTGCCGATGGGGCCCAGAGACTTGCTGCCTGCGCAGAGGCAGGCGTGGACGTCAGATGGGCAGGGAGCGGGAGAGGCAGGTGCAGGCCTGGCAGGGTAGCCTATGGGAGCCGAGCGGTCCAGCCAGGCAACACCAATTGGGAGCATGGCAGCGAGGCGGTGGCTGGCCTCCTGCCCCCTGCTCAACCCGCCCGCGATCGGTCAACCACCCATCCGCCCACCCCTCTACCCATCTGCCCACCGGCCCACCACCGATCGTCTGCCTCCCCGCCGCCCAGCCCTGTCCACCCGTCTGCCCAGGCGCCCACCTGGCACCCGCAGGTCGTCGCTGATCGCCTCCAGGTCCCGCTGGATCTGCCTGATGGGCTTGTTGTCCACGGGCAGAGAGTAGCGCAGCAGCGCCTTGGCGTTGGTCACCGCGCCGCCGCCGATGCCGGCCCAGGCGGGCGGCGCGAGCGCGTCGGGCGCCGCGCCGCCGCCGACCAGCGCCGCCGCCGCCGCGCCCAGCAGCGCGTTGCGCAGCAGGCTGCCTGCCTGCTCCAGCTGCACAGGCATGGACAGTAACAGAGTTTGCAGAGGAGGGGCTAGAGGGCCGCCGAGCTGCCTCACAACACCAAAGGCTGGACGCGCGCCGGCAAGGCGCCCGACCCGCTCCCGCTGCCGGGCTGGCGGCGCCACCCACCAGTGGAGCCGGCTGGTCGGCCTGTCGTGCGCACACGATGGGCATCGTCCTACTGCGCCTGTGGCCAGCCGCCTGGAAGGGGGCTGCCCTGAAGGCCGCCGTGGGACAGATGCTCTGCATGGTTGTAGGGGTGTCGCACCTGCCCGCTGGCCCGTGGATGGTGCAATCGCGCGGCGATGGGAGGATTCAGGCCGGGTGCAAGGAAATGGCGCAGCCTTGGCACACTAATCTCACGACGGCCCCCCCTTTCCATCGGCTCCACCCCCAAACAATGCTCTTTCCGCCTTCAAGCATATAAGCACCACTCTGGAAGCGCAGCCAAGCCCTCTGGCCACGCGCATTGGCCCCCTGGCGGTCGCACAGCTCATTCGCACCTCCTGTTTCCCTTCGCCCAGCCCCTTTGAGCCTCCAGAACGGGCCCCGGGCGCGTGCGGAGTGTACTGATCGCCCCAGCGGAGGCTTGTGCTGGTGTCTGCCGCCACCCGCCGCCGCCCGCCTGCCGTCGGAAGCCTGCTGCCTGCGGAAGCCCTCGACACACGGCAGTAGCAGCAGGAGCGGCAGCACGCACACACAGTCCTGCAGTTCCAGGCTTCATCGGGGTCCAGCCTTGCAGCACCCGCCGGCGCCATGGCGTACCTGTACAGCACCAGCAAGACGTGGCGGCGCATCGTTGACGCCACCTCGCGCAGCAGGGGCACCATGCTGGTGTTTGCCGCCGCCTGCGTGGGGGTGCCCATCTTCCTGGGGGACCAGGTGATGCAGAAGACGAGCGAGTCGGCGGCGAGGGGGGAGGGGGAGCTGGAGAAGAAGCTGCGGTCGCGGGGAGGCCTGGACGCACAGGTAGGCGCGCTGGAGGGTGTGGGTGCGGGCCACCCGGGGGAGCCGCTGCCGCGCCTGCTCATGCGCCTGCCTCTCCAACGGCCAGACCTTCCAGGGCTTGCACGCCGGAGCAGCGCCGGCCCTCTGCACACCACCGCGCCACTCGCGCCGCCGCCGCCCTCCTGCTGCAGATACTGGCCAAGGCGCAGCGCGAGCGGCTGCAGGTGATGCTGGATGAGATGAAGGGCGGCAAGGGCGGCGGCGCGGAGAGCGAGGCGCGGTACAAGGCGGCGCTGGATGGGCGGTCCCTGGGCACTCACAGCAGCGGCACCACGGCCGGCGCACGGGCCATCCGCCAGCAGCAGCCCGAGGCGGGGGCAGGAGCGGCAGCGGGCGGCGGCAAGAAGGGGTAGGGCAAGCCGCGGCACTCTGCATGCCTCCATTGACGTGTACCACCAGCCACGACGATTGAATGCACCCCCCCTGCTTTCAACAGACCTTACATGAAGGCTACATTGGAAAAAACAAATGAAACTGCTGCAATGAGTAAGGAAAAACATTGGCAGAGGGCTTCAGAGTTTCAGTCGGAACTGGCACAGAGGATGCAGATGGAACGGGGAGGGGCAGGCAGCCGGTGGAAAAGGCGACTGATGGCGAGTGTCCAGGAGGCGCGGCCTGGCCGCTGGTGCGCGCGGGGTCGGCATTGAAAAGGGGGCGCTGAAATCAACCAAGGCGCTGGAAAAAACAGAAGGGGCTGGGCTGGGGGGGTCAGGAGGCGCAGGATGGGGAGACAGACATGTGGGCGAGGCAAACACACGTGCACAAAAAGAGGCGCAGCGGCTCGCGTGTGCTCAACAGCATGCGGCCGCACGCCGCATGTCGGCAGCTTCGGGACGGAGCGGGCGGTGCAGCGGCGCGAGCGTGCCGCGAGCTCGGGCACTTAGCGGAAGATGCGGGTGTCGGGGCGGTCCTGCGGGCAGGTGGAGAGCAGGGGCGGGCACGTCTCTCTGTTGGCATGGGCGGCGCCCGGACCAGCCCAAGCAGCAGCATCGCACAGCTGGGATGCACGCGCCTCCCCAGCCGTGCATGCAGCAGCGGCCTCGACGCCGGCTCCCTCCCACCCTGCGCCGCAGGCCCGCTCACCAGGCCCTCGGCGCGCAGGTGGTAGGCCTGGCGGAAGATGGAGTTGTAGTACTCCTTGGCCCGCTTCAGGGTGGTGCCCTCCTCGGCGGCGCCGTCAGAGCGGTGGGCATACGTGAGGTGCACGTCGGGGTTGGACTTCAGCTGGCGGAACACGCTCCAGGTGCACACGGTGGCCGCCGCGCCAAACACCACGAACAGCGGGTACCTGCGGGCGAGGAAGCGTGGGGGACCGGGGTGCTGTGAACGCGGCGGCAAGGGCCCCGTGCGGCGGCGGCAGCGGGGGCCGACCCCGGGGGGCGGGAGCCCTGCAAGGGCCGTGGCCGCGGCCGGGCGGCGTCGCCTGGCCGCCTGCGGACCTGCCACAGCCCCCCTGCCCCGCAGCGCGAGCCATGCGGCGGCAAACGGGCAGCTATCCACACAAGCCTACGACAGAACTCACAGCGCGGGGGGAGGGACCCAGTAGGACGGCATGGTGACCTCTCCTGAGCTGCAGGACAAAGAAGGGGGAGTCCGGCGGAGTGGCGAGCTGCGCGGCGGCGATGGGGCTTTTGCAGGGGAGCCGCCGGGCACAGCACAGCACGATGCAATGTGCCTCCAAGTGCAACTTGCAAGGCTAGGAACCACATGCGAGTCCTGGAGCAACCGTCCGCGGCAGGCAGGCGCCCAGAAGCGGCAGCGGCGGCGACGGTGCCGGGTCATAACAACCCTACGAGGGCGTCCTCACAAGGGTATCGCAGCAATATGCAGACTGGTGAGTACGTTACAGAAACCAGTCACGGTGCAGGCAGTGCCCCAGCGTAGCCTGCAACGAGCGCCGGGCGGCAACGGAGACCTGCGGTTGACCGCCTGTGGCTCGGAGCACTGCCTGCACCCATGGTTTCTGAAAGTGCAAGCGCACCGCCCAGCCTAGCCTATTCCGCTGGTTGTTGTTGCGTGATGCAGTGGATGTTCCCTCCTCCCAGCAGGATTTCCCGACTCTGCACTGCCACCACGCGGCGCTCTGGGTACACTTCCGCCAGCACCTGTCGCGCCCTGCACCCATTTGCAGCGGTAGCGGGGGAGGTTAGAGCAGGCAGCGTGGCATCGCATGCGCCATGAGCGCTGCCACAGTGCAGCCTAGCAACAGCAGCAGGACGTGAGAAACGTCAAGGCATTGAACCAGCTAAGCCACCACCCCCGCAGAACGACGCACTGCTCGTCCGCTGCCGCAGCTTCGCCGCCAAAGGCAGGCATCACCACGCCTCCATTGCAAATGTAGTAGTTGGCGTAGGATGCCGCCATGCGGTCTCCAGCCACGCGAGGCTTGGACCCGTGCAGTACCTGTGAGTAGCAGCAGGGACAGCGGGTCGAGAGAGTGAATGGTGCGGGGCAGGCATGCTATGGCCAACAGAGGATGTGCATCCGCGGCGCCTGGACAGCTCGAGGGCTTGCCAGCAGCAGCAGGCCCGCCGCTGCCTCACCTCCACCCCCTTGGCCTCGGTCTCGGTGATGTGCAGCGGCGGCGGGAGCGGCAGTTTGATCACCTGCAAGCGGTACCACCAGCACCTTTGTCGGATCGCAGCACATCGCATGGCAACGCAGCGGCGGCAGCAGCGTGCAGCAGCGCGACACCCACAGGTGCCTGCAAATGCCTGCCGCTCAGGCGCACCTGCAGCGGGCGGCCCTTGGCATCGGTGCTCTTTGACAGGACATCCAGCGCCTGTGCCGAGATGCTGTGCTGCAGGCAGCACGCAGCAGGCAGCACGTAGATGCAGGTTTGCGGCCTGCCCCTATCGCATCAATTAACTGCAGCAACTTTTTTGATGTGTGCCCGCCCGCCTAGCCACCCAACCAGTGCAGGCACCTGCGGATCGCTGGTGTCGTCGGTCCAAGCCAGCAGCACCACGCCGGGCCGCGCAAAGCATGCAAAGTTGTCGATGTGGCCGTTGGTGTCGTCGTCGCCATACAGCCCCAGGGGCAGCCAGATGACTTTCTGCGCGGCAGAGCACATTGACAAAGGCAGCAGAGCTTCTGGCAGGGAACATGCCGAGGCGGGCAAGGAGGTGGCAGGTGCGCCGGGGGCCTGTGCTTCTTGTATCGGTGCTGCTGTGCCGCATGGCATACCGCACCTGAATGCCCAGCATGCGGCGCAGCCAGCCCTCTATGTCCTCCCGGCTCAGCTGCGGGTTGCGGTTGGGGTTGAGCAGGCACTCTTCTGCATACGGGCAGCAGGGGGCAAGCGGTCTGCTGGGTGGGCGGGCTCGGTAGGCAGCAGGCAACTCAGGTCACATGAATGGCACTTCTGCACTCCACCAACAGAAGCCTGGGTTTCCACTGTGCCACACACACACACATCCCCATTGTCCGCTGCTGCCGCAGCTTGGAGAAAACCACCGCCTCGCCTGTGGTCAGCAGCGTGCCCTCCCCATCCACGTGTATGCTGCCGCCCTCCATGACAATGGGGCAGGCAAAGCGCCGCACCCCCTCCATGCCCAGTATGGTGCCCGCCACCTGCTGGTCCCGCTCCCAGGAAGTGTACAGCCCACCCTCCAGCCCGCCCCAGGCGTTGAACTGCCAGTCCACCCCCGCCACGCTGCGCTCCCCGCCGTAGCCGCCCTCCTCCTTCACAATGAACTGCAGGGGTGCAGTAGGTACCGTGGGGCCAAACAGCAGCAAGCAAGGGGCCTGAAGGTCAGCGCTGTCGCCACCGCAATGAACGCGCAGCACCTGTGGCCGCTTACCGTGGGCCCAGTGTCACGGAACCAGGAGTCATCCTGAGGGACGCACATCACTTGCACCTGCTCCGGCAGCGCGGCGCGTGCAGCGGAAACCTACGGGCAGAGGAACAACCACAATGCCAGGGGGGATTGCCTGCTCAGTGCTGAGCTACTGCTGCAGCCAGCCGGCAAGAGCCTCGCCTCGCAGTCGCAACTCCATGCAGTGCAGCTGGCGCCCTGCAGCACAACCAGATAGGCAAGGCACAGCGGGCCGGACCCACCTGCTCCTCGTTGGCGCACACAGTGACGGGCTCAAACTGGGAGATGGCGGTGGCGACAGCCACAAACTCGCGCTGCACGTGCACCGCGTTGTCACGCCAGTTGTCGGGCCGCTGCGGCCAGCCCATCCACGTGCCCTTGTGCGGCTCCCACTCCCCAGGCATGCGGTAGCCCAGGTCCGCCGGCGACGGCTCCGCCGCCACCGCCGCTGCGGCAGCAGGCTGCACGGCGCCCATGGCGATGCACTGCGCTGCTCCTGGCTGTACTTTGTATGCTGTGCTGCACTCCTGCTGCTGGCGTGGGTGCTGTAGGGCAGAAGGTGAGGGTAGGATTGATCGCGCGATGCAGGCTGCCTGTGCGATGGGAAACAACCGATCAATGCACCGAAGCATGCAGGCTTTTGCAGGGCATCAGCCGATGTAAACCTTGCAGCAGGTCAACGCCACGCGGCAGAGGGGGGTTCGGGACGCGGCCAGGCAATGCCATCTCTGTCCCACATTTCATGCTGTGCGCCGCACACCGATTGCCACTCCCGAGAGCCTCTCAGCGCCATCACCACTGCCCTCCCCAACAGCAGGCGCTCTCTTATCCTTCAACTGCACGTGCATCAGGGGCCGGGCTATTCGACAACGCCAGGCAGCGCGCGGCAGCCGGGCACCGCGTGACCGCCGCCGTCATGACGCCGCCACAGGAGCTCCTGCAGGCACCGCCGCGCAAGGTCACGGTGGCGGCCACGCAGATGGCGTGCAGCTGGGATATTGAAGACAACATGGTATGTGTGGTGGACTCTCGTAGGGACATCAACCCAGCATGCCTGGCCGCCCCGCCCACCGCCCCTCCCCTGCCACTGCCCGCTTGCCGCCTGTGCCGCAGAAGAAGGCAGAGGGGCTGGTGCGCGCCGCCGCAGCCCAGGGCGCCAACATCATCCTGCTGCAGGTGTCCGGCTGGGGGCAGGGTTGCAGCAGCCGTGTGGTGCCACGCTGTGTGCCCAGCTCTGGGCAGCCCCTCTGCAGTTCAGCTGCAGGTGCTGCCGGTTTTGCTGTCTGCTTCCCTCTGAGCAGTCATTGCATGGTGCCCCAAGCAGCACTTTGCCTGCTTTCCCCCACCCCTGCAGGAGCTGTTTGAGGCGCCCTACTTCTGCCAGGAGCAGAAGCAGGAGTATTACCGGCTGGCCAAGGTGGGGCTCGGGGGCAGCTGGGCGGCTGCGGGGTCGCCAAGCATGCGCAAGGCTGCTGCCATCATGCACCCGTGCTACGAAAGGGCTGTTGAATGAACCGTGCTCGTTTCCCTCCCGATCCCTGTGTTTTCACCTCCCCTGCAGCCAGTGGACGACAATCCGCTGATCCCGCGCTTTGCCAAGCTGGCCGCAGAGCTGCAAGTGGTGCTGCCCAGTGAGAACTGCTGGCCTACCCACCTGCCTGCTCCCATGCCGCGCAGTTGCCTGAACTTGCTTTTCTGCAACTCCTGCTACTGAAATAGCTTGACCGCAGCCCCTGCTCACAGTGTTGCGCCTTCACGTGTTCCGCCCCGCCACTGCCGCTGCCCCACCCGTGCAGTCAGCTTCTTTGAGCGGGCAGGCGCCGCCCACTTCAACTCCCTGGTGGTGGCCGACGCCGACGGCAGCATCGTGGGGCACTACCGCAAGTCCCACATCCCAGACGGACCCGGATGTGAGCCCCGCCTGGTGCCAGCTGCCACCCTTGGCTCCTGGCTAAGGTGGCATCGGAACAGCCGGTTCGGCTGCCACCTTGGGCTGTTGTCCTCCCCGCCTGCCCCCACCGATCAGCCCCCACCCAACTCCCTGCCGCAGACCAGGAAAAGTTTTACTTTAGCCCCGGGGACACCGGGTTCAAGGTGTTCAAGACGCGGTACGCAGACATTGGTGTGCTCATCTGCTGGGACCAGGTGGGGCTGGTGGGGGGTTGTGCTTGTACTCACGGCAGGGGCATGTGAGTGGGTGGCTGGATGTTGTATCGCACTCTCTGAACAACAGTTCTCCTGCTGCTGCCCCTGCGACCCTCTGCAGTGGTTCCCCGAGGGCGCGCGCTGCGCTGCGCTGATGGGCGCCGAGGTGCGGCCGGCAGCCATGAGCCACGCTCCCTGCGAGCAGCAGCTGCTGTGGAGGAGTTGGCAGAGCCCTGCTGCCATCCAGGCTCCCCGGCCCATGATGGGCTGATGATGGCATGGTGCCATCTGCAGCCCTGCACACACCGCACACCACCCTGCTGCTGCCGCAGATCCTGTTCTACCCCACCGCAATTGGCTCGGAGCCGCCCAACCCCTCCTACTCCTCCTACCCACACTGGGCGAGGGTCATGCAGGGCCACGCGGGCGCCAACATGGTGGGTGCGGCAGGTGCAGGTCCCGGCTGCGTGCACATCTAGCCAGCGACCTATCTGTTGAGCTGCACCTGCTGCCATGCACCAGCGCTGCCATGCACCCAGCAGGTGGCGCGGCCCCCCCTGTGCAGATGCCTGTGGTGGCCAGCAACCGCATCGGCACGGAGACCTTCGAGCACAGCCACATCACCTTCTATGGCGGCAGCTTCATCGCGGGGCCCGCTGGAGAGATTGTGGCGCAGGTGCGGCGTGGGCGTGCATGGCCCAACGCCAAAACCGACCGGAAAGAGAAGCTTATGGCCCCTTGCCGTGGCTGGCACCTAGACACCATGCACGCGCCTTCATGCCTGCCTGGTCCTTGCCGCTGCTGGGCGCAGGCGGGCGCGCACGGGGCACAGGCCAACGGCGGCATCGACCCGGAGCCGGAGCAGGACGAGGGCGTTGTGGTGGCCACGTTCGATCTGGAGGAGTGCAGCTCCAATCGTGCGGGGTGAGGAGGCACGGGCTGGTTGAGGGGCGCAGCTGGATGGCCGCCTGGTTGCGGCTTCGTGGCTGTAGCTGCATGCCCCGCTCCTTTGTGCATGCAGTTACGTCGCTGCCGCCCTCCTGCAGGTGGGGGATGTTCAGGGACAGGCGGCCCGACCTGTACGGCCCCATTGCCACCCTGGATGGCAGCCGGAACAGCAGGCGGTAGAGCCGACAGCTGCAAGCTCGGGCGTTGCGCCTGGGTCGGCGCATCTGGGAGGCTCGCCACAGCGCCGCCAGCAGCGCCGCCAGCCTGTCGCCGCCGCCGCTACCCAGTGTCGTCTCTGCTGCCACGTCGCGCTCACATTATGCTCCCTGACATCCCATCCTGCATTTAGTCTCGCTCTCTGCTCTCTTTACAGCCCTGGTTGCTGCCAAACTCCACGCCGCCTCCTGCAAGCATGAGCAACGTGATCTTGGGCTTCTCTAGATGCCATCTGATCAGCCTGCGGGCGTTCCGCACCCTGCAGCTTGCCTCACATGTCCCGATGTGGCAGCAGGCGGCTCAGCTGGTGCTGCAGCCAAGCCCATCATTTAGCAGCAGTCTCCGGCACCTGCATGCGAGCGCCTGGCGGGCAGCCGCGGCAGCGCATCCGGCCGATGACCAGTCGCTGGGCATCCTCAAGCGGCGCCAGCAGGAGCTGCAGGAGCGCATTCAGGACGCCGTGAAGGTGCGATGCACGCATCGCGATCGCTGACGACACAGGCCTGTGCGGCCGCCGCCACCCGCTGCCGGTGCCGCTGCCGCCACCGCTCCCCAACAGCCCTTTGCCTTGCGCCTGCTATTCCTCGCCCAGGTGGCCGACCTGCCGTCCCTGAAGCGCCGGATGGCGGAGCTGGAGGAGGCGGCGGGTGCGAGCGACCTGTGGGAGCAGCGGGCGCGGGCCACGGCGGTGCTGCAGCAGCTGACGGCGCTGCGGGAGGAGGTGGCGGCGCTGGAGCGCTTCTGCGGGCAGCTGGAGGACCTGGGGGTGGCTATGGAGCTGCTGGAGATGGAGGTGAGGCAGGGCAGGGTGGCTGCCGGCGGCCGGGGCAGCTGCGGCATGCTCCCAGTCTTGAACGCAGAAGGGCGGCATCTGCGAGCGCTTGCGCGAGCCCAACCCCCGCACCGCTGGCCGTGCAGGACGAGGCGGGCGCGCAGGCGATGGCGGCAGAGGCGGGATCCATCTGCGACGGGCTGGCAGCCGGCTTGGAGGCCTGGGAGCTGCGGCGGCTGCTGGGGGGCCCGTACGACGACCGAGGAGCGGTGCTGACGATCCAGGTGGGGCCAGAGGGGCGGCGCCGCGGCTGCCGCGCTGCCCAGTCACCATGCACAGCTTTTGCTGCTACTGGTGGTGGTGGTGGTGGTGGTGGTGGCATCGCCAGCCAATTGATGCCGGCTGTGCCGCGGGTTCCCCACCCCATGTTGCCCATTCCCGCGCCCCAGCCGCCCCCTCACCCGCCTCGCCGCTCTGCTCCTGCACCCTGCGCAGGCGGGGGCGGGCGGCACGGATGCCCAGGACTGGGCTGAGATGCTGGAGCGCATGTACCTGCGCTGGGCGGAGAAGCAGGGGCACCGCACTCGGGTGGTGGACCGGCAGCAGGGTGCGCCCCGCCTGCCTGCCTGCATGCATGCATGCGTGCGTGCGTGGTGTTGGTACATGGACTGGTGCGGCTCTGCGGCCTGCCCTCCTGCCTGGCTGCCTGGCGGGCATGTGCCAGAGCAGTGCAGCGGAGCGGTGCAGCAGCCCACGGCGCCTGCTGTGCTGCATGGGAGCCGGCCCGCGCACCCTGTCCTACTGGGCCCAGCGAGTGGCCCCACCTTAGCCTCTGCCGGAGCACCACCCAGCCCTGCTGCCTCCGCACCTGCGCCCCCCGCTCGCAGGCGAGGAGGCGGGCATCAAGTCTGTGGAGATTGAGGTGGATGGGCGGTACGCCTACGGGTACCTGCACGGCGAGAAGGGCACCCACCGCCTCGTGCGCCAGTCGCCCTTCAACGCCAAGGCCGCCCGCCAGACCAGCTTTGCGGCGGTGGAGGTCATGCCCATGCTGGGTGGGTGCAAGGCCGGGTGTGGCGTGGTGTTGGGCGGCGGGAGCTGAGCAGGCACGGTGGATCCACTGGGTGTGAGCCTGCCGGCGCAGCTGGCATCGCCGCCTGCCCTCCCGCCCCCCAAACCCCTCAGCCCCGCCCACCTCTGTGCTGGTCCGGCGCAGCCCCTCAGCCTCCTGCCACCACTGCTGTTTCCTGCCTCCCCTGCAGGCGAGCTCGTCGACGAGGTGGAGCTGCCGGAGTCGGACCTGGAGATAACAACCATGCGCTCCGCCGGCGCCGGCGGGCAGAACGTGAACAAGGTGGAGACGGCGGTGCGCATCAAGCACTTGCCCACGGGCATCGCGGTCAAGTGCCAGATGGAGCGCTCGCAGGTAGGCTGGGTAGCGGTGCTTACTGGTCGGGCAGCTGTGCGGGCAGGCGCGACTTTCGAGTCAGGGGCAGGCAGCTTGGGGCTGCAGCAGCCGCTTTGCTGTTGCTTCAGTACTGTCGCACCCCAGCCCACCCCTCCAGCCGCTCACCATCGCTGTGCCCGCCCGCCTCCCGCCTTATCCCACACCACTACCGGGCAGGCCCAGAACAAGTCGATAGCACTGGGCATGCTAAAGGCCAAGCTTCTGGTGGTGGCCCAGGAGCAGCAGCTGCAGGAGGTTGCGGAGATACGGGGAGACCTTGTGAAAGCGGGTGAGTGAGCGGGGTTGACAGGCAGGCAGTTGACAGGATTGGCTGCCTGCGGGGCTGGGGGTCTGGCTGGTGGGGACGGCGCCACACGCTGCCATTCGTCCCGCTGCTGGTGTGCCCGGTCCGCTCCCGGCAGCCTCGGCCCCCGTTGAAACGTGGCCGGCCTGCGTGCCGCTGCCCTGCTCCTGCCTGCAGAGTGGGGCCAGCAGATCCGCAACTACGTGTTCCACCCGTACAAGCTCGTGAAGGATGTGAGGACCGGCCAGGTCGGTCTTGGCCCTGCCAGCCAGCCAGGCCCGGCACGCCTGCTTCTGCTTGCCTTCTTGCTTGAGCAGTGCATCGCTGCCCATTTGCAGCGCGGCATGCGTGCGCAAGCAGCCGCCTGCGGCGTGTTGCTTGCACATCCAAAGGCCGGACAGGCCCCGAGCCCGCTGCTGGGCTGGCGCCCGACCCGTTTGCTGCGCCCGTGTGTTGCAGGAGACGTCTGACGTGGCGGGCGTGATGGATGGGGAGCTGCAGCCCTTCATGCAGGCCTACCTGCAGCACAGGGGCCGGCAGCTGGGCGGCCTTGCGGCGGCCCCGGCGGCAGGCGTGGGGGCGCCCGCCTGACCCTGCAGAGACCACAAACGGCCGACGCCTGGCGTGCGCTGCCTGTGGTGCCGGCTCGACTGGACTCGCGTGTAATGCTCGTCACATGAACAAAGCTAGGTGTGCGTATGAATGGGGCCCACGCGGTTCTGCATGCCATTGCACAGCGTTCCAAGCGGCTGCGGTGTGTGAGGATAGTCGCCGGGGTCAAGGGTAGGCGCCAGCAAACGCAGGTAGGCAGCCAGGTATGCAGCAAAATGAAACACCACGGGAGCTAGGACAATACAGTAGGTGGTTCTGCAAGGTAAAGCAAAAAGGTGTAGGACAGCGTGGGAAGCGTGCGTACGAAAGAATGCGGCAAGGGGATTTGGCGCTTGAAGACGAGTAGGCACAGGGGAGTGGGCGGGCTCTGCGGAAGCGCGGCTTCTGCCTGCGTCTGCCGCAGAGGGACCCCACGCTCAGTAGGTACGTTTGACAGGCTGACAGGCTGCAATTATAGCGCTGACGGCGCAGTTCATGGTGCAGGGCTGGGCGCGGTATGTTCAGGGGAGCAGGGGCGGCAGGGAGAGCTCTGAAATGCGGGCCGCTCAGGGCCACAGGGGCGTGGAGCAGCCGCCCAGGCTGAGACTGTTGCAGATGGTGGTGGACAGGGTCTGGGCCGAGGGTGTGCCGCTCTTCTGCAGGGACCAGATAAACATGCCGTCGCCGCCGTTCTGCCTCAGGTAGGCCGCCGTTTCCTGGGCTTCGGCCACGGTGATGACGTGGCCGCCCCACGCCTCGGGAGGCACCTGCAGAGCAGCCATGAGGGCAGGAGTGATGATTCCGATCAGTAATGCAAGTGAGGAAGGACCGCACTAGCCGTGACCAAGCAGCATTGCATGCCCAAGAAGCACACATGCGTCGCGGCCCACCTCCACGCCCATCAGCAGCTGGCCCTTGTACAGGGAGCGGTACGCGTCGTACGCCTCCTTGGTGTCGTACGCGTTGCTGGCGTCGTACGACATCTGCGGGAAGAAAGGAGGAGGCAGGCCAGCGGGAGTAAAGACGGCCGGCGACGCGAAGGGCAAGCAGGGGCAGCGGGGGCGGCGTGCTGCAGGAAACACCCGGCGGCCGTAGCCGTCCAAAGCAATTTATTTCCGTCATGTGCTTTCCACCCATGCCTCACCACGTTGACGACGTCAAACATGTCGCCCACTGCCTTGAGCACATTCACGCTCATCCCCGTGTGGTCCCCCTGCGGCTGGCTGTTGAGCCAGGCCCCCTGGCCGTACGCGCCGATGGACCAGGCGGCGGTGGTGAGCAGGGCGGGGCGCGGCAGCGCGGCGCGGGTGCGGTTGACGAGCGAAATGAACTCGGCGTCGGTGGCGCAGCGCACGCCCGCGGGGCCACTCCAGGTGCAGCCCGCGCTGGCAGGCTCGTAGTCCAGGTCGACGCCGTCCAGCCCAAACGTCTTGACAAAGCTGGCGATGGCGGGAAGGTTGATGCGGTCCCAGGCAGTATAGGTGGCGCCGCCCACCGCCACCAGCACCTGCTCAGGGGTTTGGGGGCGTGCGGGGCCCGCAGGGCGGTCAGCACGGCGGAGCAGCCCGCGGGCGGCGCGCTAGGGGTGGCGAGCAGCTCGCGATCGGCGGGCCGCGCCCGCGCCCACGCCGGCCCTCCCTCCCCAGCCAGCCTCCCGGCCCTGCCAGCCGAGCCTTGCCCACCTTGGTGCGCGGGTTGCGCTGCTTGAGCAGGGCGATGGCGCCCTTCACCACCTCTGGGTCGCTGTTGAACTGGATGCCGGTGCCCTGGAAGGTCACCCCGCCAGAGTAGGTGGCGTCTGCAGCCGGGAGGGGCCAGTGGGCGTGGCGGTGGCGCGGCGTGGCGCGGGAACGCCGCGGGGACGCGCAGCTGGCGCCGGCGGGCTGCCCGGCAGGGCGCGTGCCGCACGCGCGGCCGCTGCCCGCTGCCAGGCTGCCTCACGCTCTGCCGCCGGCAGGCCGTGCCGCGGCTCCCCGGCCCTGCTGGCACCACCACCACATGCACGCTTGCACACACACACACACGCACACCGGCGCACCCCCGCCCCCACCTGGCTGCATGAAGGAGAGGTAGACCAGGCTGACGTAGCTGGGCAGGGTGGCCAGGCGGTGGGTGGCGGCGCTGCCCTTCCAGGGGTCGGACCAGGTCTCGTAGTAGGCGCCGTACTGGAAGGCCGGCCCCGGGGGGTTGGGCGGGCTGGGGGGGCTGGGAGGAGGGCTGGGCGGGGGCGGCGAGGCTGGCGGCGAGGGAGGCGGTGAGGGAGGAGGGGGCGGACAGGGCGGCAGCGGGGTGCACTTGACGTTGTAGTCCCAGTCGCAGTACTGGCGGGCATTGTTGAACAGCAGGCCGGCGGCGCAGGACTTGTAATAGTATTGGTTGGAGCCCACACACCTGCGCGGCAGCGGGGGTGGGTGCAGCGGGGATGGTGTGTGGGGGGGTGGGGTGGGGGTGGTGGATAGGGCGGTGGGCGACCAAGCTGGCAGGTGTGTGTCGGGCGCCACCACTTGTGGGCGGCCCAGCAAGCGCATGCCGCGGCCCCATGCAGGCAGGCAGGCGGCCGGCTGCCCCCTGCCTGGGCAGCCTGCCGGGGAGCTCCCGCACCAGAAGTAGTTGCGGCAGCCGGAGGCCTCGTCTGCAAACATGCCCGTGGAGCCCTTCTGGAGGCACCAGCACGTGGCGTTGCTCAGGCAGTCGGGCTGCTCCACAATCTCCGTGGGCGGGCTGGGCGGCGGCGGCCGCGGCGACGGCGGCCGCGGGCTGGGGGGAGGCGGCGGCGGCCGCGGGGACGGCGGCCGCGGGGACGGCGGGCTGCTGGGCGATGGCGGCGACTGGGCCTGGGGAGGCGATGGGCTGGGCAACGGCGGCTGGCGGGCGCGTCGTTTGAGGCGGCCCTGCAGCGGCACCCCGCAGCGTGCAGCGCCAACCCCCGCCCGCCCCGCCACCAGGCATGTCATGCTCGGCGGTGACCGAGTGCTCACCCCTCTCCGTAGGCGCCGATGGACCAGGCGGCGGTGGTAATCGTGTAGCGAGGCCGGGGCAGGGCTGCCCGCAGTACCTTGATGGCGGAGATGTAGAGAGTTATTGCACAGTTATTGCACAGTTATTGCACAGAATGCTCGACACAGTCGTCTCCTTCACTCTCTCAGAGGCGCTAGCAGTGGCAGCGGCCGTCGGCCTGTTTCTGGGCCTGTTCTCGGCAGCAGCTCTCCTCGTGCTCCTGCGATGGGTGGAGAAGCGCCTGGTAGAGGCGCGGCCCGGCGGCGACAGCCGCCCCCCGCGGCATGCCGAACCTAGTGTTCGGCACGTGCCGCTCGAGGGCAGCTTGCAGCCTGCGCGGGACCCAGCGCCACCCACAGGCGAGCAGACAGCTGAGATTGCGGTGATAGGGCTCCCCGGCTTGGCAGCGGAGGCTGCCGCTGGATGCCTTCCCACACACGAGCATGCCTGCAGACGCCTTTGCGGCTGGCTGCACGCCTTCTACAGCATGTCAGTCAGCGGCGTGCGGGTGCAGCGGGTGTGGATCACGCGGAATGGGCGGATGGCGCTTGAGGCGTCGCTGCCCGCCGCCATGGCTGCTACTGTGCTGGCTGGCAGCAAGCGGCTCAAGGGTACTGGGATCACCCTTGGGCCCGTCCTCAGCCCCAGCGAGCTGCGCGAACGGGAGGCGCGCAGGCAGCAGCAGCCACAGCCCACCCCGGTCCCGCCCCAGCCTGGCCGACAGCGCCGTGCGCAGCGCTCCGCCCCGCCAGCAGCCGCTAACGCGGCAGC